TATGCTATTTACACTTACTGCATTTATGCCTCCTAAGTACTGACTTGGAACACCCAGTGAATTACACTTTTTTATTTTAAAAATATTTTTCATCCTTAGGCAACTTCTTAAACTTTCTGAGCCAGTTTCCTCATCTTTAAAATGAGAACAACAAAACAAAATCTCGAGTTGCCTGTGTTGAGACCATGCATGTATTTATGACATGCATTTCCAGATTTCAGCTCTCATACCAGCTCTGTGATCTTGTGTAATACACGTGAATGGTTAGCACTGTGTCCAAGGCACAGAAACACTCTATTAGTTATACCCATTTTAATGATTATCGATGAAAGCCAAAAACAAACACGGAACCAAAATCAGGCCGATTGCCTCCTTAGTGAAAAGCGGTGGAGGGAGAAGGAATGTTGCAGTGCTTGTGTTGTCTAAGGTGGTCCTGTCCTCCTGGGGCCTGCAGCCTGGCCAGATGCCATGGGACCCTTCTCAGCTCTCTGGGCCTGAGCTTTCTCGACTGTGAGGTGAGCATGTTAACGGCACCTGACCAAGAGCTGTGCGAGGATCAGTGATGTTTATCCAGGGGAGGGGTTGCTTGCTAAGCACCGAAACATCCTAGTTCCCTTGTAGTGAAGATGGGTGACAGCAATTATAGCTGATGTCACCAGCGGTTAAGATCTTCCAACCCTTGCTTACCAAGCACCTTTTCGATCATTTAGCTCTCCATATAACTTTACTGTGATGAAATTCAAGTTATTCCCATTTACCCAAAAGCAAATCTTAGTGTGTTCATTTGGAGTGGCTCAGATTCAATTGTGGGAGGGACACATACATGATTCTCACCTTCTTTGGAGACCGCTTCTGGCAGGTCCCTATTATCTCCACCCCCCCCCCCTTTTTTTTTGTTAATCTTCACCCGAGGACATTTTTCCATTTTTTGTTCAGATAGAGTGGGAGGGAGAGAGAGAGAAACATCGATGTGAAAGGGACACATCGAGTGGCTGCCACCTGTACAACCAACCAGGGCCGGGGACAAACTGCACCCGAGGTACGTGCCCTTAGCGGGAACCGAACCCGGGGTCTCTCTGGACCGCAGGCCGATGCTCTAACTGCTGAACCAAACTGGCCAGGGCCCCTATTATCTCCCTTTCCCCCTCTTCATTGGCATAAGAGGGAGTCAAATCTGGGTCTCCATCACTTGAGAGTTGAATGGAGAAGACATTCTGCCTCCTCAGAAATCTGTAGTTCAAATCTAGGAAGGGTATTTGTCACGGGTGTCAGAGCAAGGTAGAGAGGAGCCACTAGTGCTCTTGTAAAGGAAAACTGTCATCATTCCGGATCTCTCGTCATGGTCACCATGCTGCCCACACCAGAACCGTCGTTTTGGACAATGACTAATGCTGGGGATATATATTTTGTAACCTGTTTTGAGGGCAATCTTTTACTTTTATTATATTGTTACATAATGAAATATGCAACTCCTTGGTCAACCTCTGAAAGTTTAAATTCTCCCCTTTTTGTCTTTGTCATTTGCTAACTTTGATAATCTTGTAGTAGCAGATCAGTCTGTCCCACAGGAATATACGCCTGTAACTTCAAAAGAACAAATTGTTCCAAGTAGTTATCCATTTGAACAATTTAGCTACAGCCTGTTTGCCCTATCGCAGCAGGTGATACAACCTTGACCCAGTAAGCCCAAAATGGAGATTTTTCTCTTCTCACTGCACCTTAACCTCACCTCACTGACCTAACCCTACATATTTCTGACCCTGTCTCTCCCTCTCCTTCTCCCTCCTTATAGCCACTGCCCTAATGCATCTATATCTTTCCTATTTCAGGGGTCTACCAACTACTTTCCCTGCCTCTTAGTTTTGACCCTCTTAGATCTATCCTGAAACAAAAACTACCTTAGAGCTTTTCACTTGCTCCCAAAATTAACTTCTGGTTTTTTAATTTATTTGAGAGAGAGAGAGATTTGTTGTCCCACTTATTTACACATTCATTGATTGATTCTTTTTCTTTCTTATCCTCATCCAAGGACATTTTTGCATTTATCTTCAGACAGAGTGGGAGGGAGAGAAGGAGGAAGAGAGAGAGAAAACTCCGTGTGAGAGAGAGACATCGAGTGGTCGCCACCCACACGACCCCAACCAGGGCCAGGGACAAACTGCAACCAAGGTGCATGCCCTTAGCGGGAACCAACTCTATGGTCCACGGGCTGACGCTCTAACCGCTGAGCCAAACCGGCCAGGGCTTTCCTTTCCTTTCCTTTCTTTTCTTTTCTATCCTCATCAGAGGACATTTTTTGTTCAGATAGAGTGGGAGGGGGAGAGAGAGAAACATCAATGTAAAAGGGACACATTGAGTGGCTGCTTTCTGTACCACCCCAACTGGGGCCGGGGACAAACTGCAACCAAGGCACATGCCATTAGCAGGAACCGAAACTGGATCTCTGGACCGCAGGCCAATGCTCTAACCACTGAAAAAGCCCCTCCCCCCCTTTTTGGTACATGCCCCTTAGCAGGAACTGAACCAGGGACTCTCTGGTCCGCAGGCCGACACTCTAACCGCTGAGCCAAACCGGCCAGGGCTTTCTTTTCTTTTTATATTTTTTTTCTTTATTGATTTTAGAGAGAGAAGAAGGGAGAGGGAGAGAGAGAGATAGAGGCATCAATGAGAGAGAACATCGATTAGCCACCTCCTGAATGCCCCCACTGAGGAACTGGCCCACAACCTGGGCATGTGCCCTGACAGGGAATCGAACCGGTGATCTCTTGGTGCAGGGTCGACGCTCAACCACTGAGCCACATCAGCTGGGCAGGGCTTTCTTTTCTTTTAAAATGCTCACCAAAGGATATTTTTCCATTGCTCTTTATTTTTTATCCTCGTCCGAGGACATTTTTGCATTTATCTTCAGATGGAGCAGGAGGGAGAAAGGGAGGAAGAGAGAGAAACACTGATGTGAGAGACACATTGAGGGGTTGCCATCCACACCTCAACCAGAGCTGGAGACAAAATGCAACTGAGGTACGTGCCCTTAGCAGGAACCGAACCCGGGACTCTCTGGTCCGTGGGCTGATGCTCTAACCACTGGAAAACTGGCCAGGGCTCCATTTCTTTCTATTTATTTATTTATTTATTTATTTTTTGTGGTATGTGTCCCTAGCGGGAACGAACCCAGGACTCTGGTCCACAGGCCAACACTCAACCGCTGAGCCAAACTGGCCAGGGCTCCATTTCTCTTTAGATGGAGTAGAAGAGAGAGGGAGGGAGAGAGAGAGACATGGATTGGTTGCCTCCCACAAGGGCTGGGGATCAAACCTGGTAAGTGCCCTTGATGGGGGACTGAACCTGCGACCCCTGGACTGATGCTCTAACTGCTGAGCCAAATGAACCAGGGCTCACTGGTTGATTCTTGTATGTGCCCTGACTGGGGCTGAACCCCTAACCTTGGCTTATCTAGATGACGCTCTCCCCAACTGGGCTATGCGGCCCAGGGTTAACTTCTGACTTACTGAGTCCCATCCATACCTCCAAAGTCAACCCAAACTGTCACACTGAAATTCCTTAAACTTGAAGTCCTTCCTCTTTTGGCCCTTTGTTGTTCCTACGCCTGGAATCCCTTCCTACACGCAGAGGGCTCCGAAACTCAGGCCTCTCTAGCATCCCCCCCCCCCCCCCCCCCAGGCAGGTTGATCTCCTTCCTCTGCCCTAGACCTTGTCCTTGTTGGCTACAGCCGTTTCCCTGAAAGACACTGACGTCTTTGATGGTTCAGGCTGTGGCTCTTGTTCATCTTCTGTCTCCACCACCTGACGGTGTGTGCGGAAGGAGCAGATGAACAGATCAACGGCTGCCCTTGTCCGAACACGTTCGGATTCTTTGCCCACGGACGTAAGGACGGTTGCTATTGGGTGTAAACCGTTCCAAGAGCAAGCACACAGGTGGATGGGGCTGACTACAGTTCACCCGTGAAATCCTCCCAGCCCTGCGAAGTCGGCGCGGGCACTGTTGACCGCTCACGGGTGCAGTGCTGCGGCTCAGAGCTGCCGTGCTGTGCAGACGGGCAGACGGGTGCGGGGTCCCACCGGGCCGGCCCTCCATTCCCTCTACCTGTCCCCTGGCGGTCGTCGCACGGGCAGAGCCGGGATGACGACGTGCGCGGCCCGCAGGCGGGGTGTCTGCTCCCGCACTGCTGCCCTTCAGGGCTCAGCACGGGACCTGGACACGCTGAGGTTGGGGCGGAAGCCTAGCGTGGCAGTTAAAAGAATTTGGGGGGCCCTTGTCCACCGCTGCAGCCTCAAATCCCGTGTTCCAAGAGACTCCCGATTCCCCTCGGCTCCCCGTGCCCTCCGGGAACGGAGGGCGGTCGCTGCGCCCCATCCCTCCGCCGAGCGCTGCGTTTTCTTTAACCCTTTCCCCGCCCGACGGCCGGTTCCCCCAGGACCCGGGCTCGGGCTCATCTCCCGTGTTGCGCCCACCGGGGTGCAGCGCCGACTGTCCCCACACGCCCGCTGCGCCCTCAAGCCCCGGAGGGCGGGTGCCCGCGTCCCCGCATTCCTCCCCGTCCCCGGGCCGGCTCCTCTCTCTCCGAAGTGAGCGATCTGCGTGGGGAGAGGGGCGAATACCGGGGCCCCCGGGGCCCGCCCGCGAAATGTGCCTTCGGAGAGCGGCCGGGCCCGCTGCCCGTCCCGAGCCCGGAAGGTCGGGGTGGAGGGGCTCCGCTTGGCCCGGGCCGGGGACCTGTCCCCACCCCCGCAGCCCCCGCCCCGCGGGCGCCGGCCGCCTCACAGCGCGCAGGGATCCGGCCACGCGCCACCCCTCCCCCCGCGCCGTCCCCCGCCGGGCCCTCGCCCCCAGACGCCGCTCCCCGGCGCCCGCCGAGTCCCGGGGCTGCGGGCCGACGCTCGCTCGTCCCGGCGGGGCCCGACCGCCAGCGGCGCGGGGCGTGGGCGGCCCCTCGCGGACTACTTTTCCTCGCGCGGAGGGACTAGGGCGCGGGCGGCGGCAGGGCGCGCACGGCATGGCGGCGGCGGCGGCGGCGGCGCGCCTGAGCTAGAGGGACGCCGGCCCGGTCAGGCCTCGGCGCGGCCTACACGCTTCGCTCGCTCGCTCCCGCCCCGCGCCCCGCGCCCCGCGCCCGGCCATGGCGGAGCCCTCGCCCGCCCGACGCCCGGTGCCCCTCATCGAGTCCGGTAAGACGTGCGGCCCGCGGCGCCCCCGCCGCGTCCCCCCCGCCCCCCCCCCGGCGCGCCCGCTGTTGACCCGACTGACTCCTCGTCTCCCCTCAGAGCTGTACTTCCTCATCGCCCGGTACCTGTCGGCCGGCCCGTGTCGGAGAGCCGCCCAGGTGAGTGCGGGCCTCGGGCGGCGGCCGCGGCCCCGGCCCGGCCCCGCCACCGCCGGGGGCGCGGCGGGGGCGCGGGCGGCCTGGGGGCGCCCCCGCCCCTCTCACCGCGCGTCTCTCCCCGCAGGTGCTGGTGCAGGAGCTGGAGCAGTACCAGGTCTGTGCCTCGGGCGCCCCGCCCGGGCCCCCCGCCGCCCCCCGCCCCCCGCCCGGCCCGCCCGGGGGCGCACGCCGCCCCGCCCCGCCGCCCCCACGCGGACCCCGCGGTGGTCACTCGTGTGCATCTCGTGTCTTTGCAGTTGCTGCCGAAGAGGTTGGACTGGGAGGGCAACGAGCACAACAGGAGCTACGAGGAGTTGGTGAGACTTTGACATTTCCGTGCCGGGGTTTCAGGGCGCCCGCCCCCCATTCGGGGCTCCCGCCCGGGGGCGAGGTGTCCGAGCCGTGCTCGGAGGCGGGCGGCCGGCCGGGGGTCTGCGGCCCGCGGGGCTGCCCCGGCAGGTGTGCTTTGGCTTCGGGGGGGCTGTGTTTGTTTGGGTAGGAAATGCCCAGGACGCCGGCGGGGCGGCGAGGGGGCGACGCGGCGGGCGGTTTGAGGCGGGGTGGGCCCCCACCCAGGTGCGCTGCTCGGGGGGCGAGTCCGGGGCGCGCGTGCGCGCGCCAGCCATTCAGCGAGCGGCTCTTGTCCGCCTGTCTTCTTAACCCGACTTGTAACTCGAGCCCTGATTGGTCGTCTTCTTTGGGCCCCGCCCAGGTGTTCAGACCACTTGTTCCCCTGGAATAGAACCTTTGGTGTCTGAAAGGTGGAGAAATGTTCCTCTTTTAGCATTTTTTTCTTTGATCTCATCATTGTAATAAAAATAAAAATATTGTTGCTGTGAGAGCATGTCATGCCTCCATTAGTTTTGCTGCTCTAACCTGTAAACATGTTCAATACCTTAAAAAACGAGTTATTTTGATGAATTTATACTGTCATCTGCTGGACATTATATATGTGCAGTTTCTGTTTTTGGAGCACCATCAATATAGCTTATAGTTCTTTCTTATACTTTGTCAACTTATTTAATATATAAGTTGCTTTCACAATATATAAAATTCGGTTTTATCCATTCGTGTGTCCTTAGTGGAATAAAACATTTTCCAGAAAGATGTTTTTGTCAATTTGTGTATTAGGACAAAGGATTTCTTTAGTTGCCTGCACATGTTCAGCATCTTGTATTTGCAAAACAACTGAATAAAGGGCTCTTGAATAATCTACCACAATTGTAATACCTGTAAGCAGAACTTGTAGGATGTGAATACCATTCTTGAATTAAATAAAAGGACAAAAAGTAAACAAGGGGATTTGTCATCTGTATGTAAACAATTAAGTATTAACACTTAAAGTCAGGTGAAGATAACAAAGGAATTCTATTTCAGTTACCAGTTTTAATATTTGCCTTATTAGAGATTTTTGTTGCAAACTTTTAAGAGCAAATATTTTCAAGAAAGTGAGTTCTGGAAATTCTATGTGATGGCAGAGTTTTTATGTTTTATTGAGTTTGATATTTTGAGATTTTTGTTTTTAATGCAGGGAAACACTTAAAGGATTGGTCTGTCTTGGTTGGTGAGAGTGGTTTTGATGAAGCAGAGAAGCATTGACGTGAAAGTCAATTCATGTTACTAAAGGGAAAATTGTTTAAATTTTGAAGCAAGTGTTAATGTTTACCTAATGGAAATAGACACAAATTTTAATAGGCCTATATATTTTGGCTTTTGCTGTTAGAATTGCTTAAAACCCTACTTAACACTTTGCTTAAAATTATTTAAAATCTCTGAAATACTCCTGTGATATGGCTGTGACATGTCAGTTGCTCATTGCCTGGCTGATTTGGTCTGTCTGGTGGGTATCCTCTTCCTCCTCTATCTTCCTCTCTCCCCCCTATCCCAGCACTAAGTGGAACAGGATGAGCTTCCTGTCTAGAGGAGGATAATTGTTTTGTCAAGGGTATGTGACTAACCCTAAACCCTGGGCCATGTGCCTGACCAGGAATCAACCAACAACCCTTCAGTGCACAGGAGGACGCCCAACCAACTGAGCCACACTGGCCTGGGCCCTTTTTTTGTTTTCTTTTAAAGTTATTTTCATTAGCTGTGAAATTCTAGTTGATGTGTGGTTGCTTTTTAAAACATTATTTTTTCTTTATTGATTTTAGAGAGAGAGGAAGGGAGAGGGAGAAGAGAGATAGAAACATTGATCTGAGAGAACATGGATTGGCGACCTCCTGTATGACCCCCACTGGGGATCAGGCCCACAATTTGGGCATGTGCCCTGACCAGGAATTGAACTGATAACCTCTTGGTGCATGGGTGGTGCTCAACCACTGAGCCACACCGACTGCGCCCTTTAAAGTGTTTTTTCTTCAGCTGCTTAAGATTCTCATTTTGTTTTGGATTTTCAGCAGTTTTACGATAATGTACTGTAGTCATTATCTATGGCTGCATAACAAATTACCCCAAAATTCAGTGGCTTGATAAACAGCACAGATTTATTATCTCAGTTTCTGTAAATTAGGAGTCCAGGCACAGCTGACTGCGTTCTCTTTCTTAGTCTTTCTCAAGGTTGCAATCAAAGTGTTGGTCAGAGCTGAAAGTTTGACTGGGGAAGGCACTGCTTCCAAGCTCATCTAATTTTTGGCTGCATTCAGTTCCTGGAGGGTATTATTGGACTGAGAGCCTCAGTTCCTAGCTTGCTTTTGGCTGCCCTGAGATCCTAGTCACATTGGTCTCTCCAGCATTGCAGCTTCCATCATCGGGTTGAAAGTTGACATGACACTAATAGTCAGCTAGAGAGACAAAAGTCACAATCTTTTGTAACCTAATCATGAAAGTGGTATTGCCTCAATGTTACTGTGTTGTGTTGGTTAGAAGTACTGTAACTTACTTGCTGGGAGGTGATTTCTTTTTTTTTTTTTTTTTTTTTTATCCTCACCCGAGGACATTTTTCCATTTTTTGTTCAGGTAGAGTGGGAGGGAGAGAGAGGAACAGAGAGAGAGAAACATCGATGTGAAGGGACACATCGAGTGGCTGCCACCCGCACGACCAACCAGGGCCGGGGACAAACTGCAACCGAGGTACGTGCCCTTAGCGGGAACCGAACCCGGGTCTCTCTGGACCGCAGGCTGACGCTCTAACCGCTGAGCCAAACCGGCCAGGGCGGGAGGTGATTTCTTAAAGCTGTGGATATCAGGAGGTAGGGATCATTGGAGGCCATGTCAGAAGCTACTTACCACATGTGCCTATGTAGACTTCTTTGCATTTACTTTGTTTAGGGTTCTATGAGCTTCTTGAATCTACAGGATATCAAATAGTTTAATGTGTCAAGTCCCAAATGGAAAGGATAGAAGAATAGGGCAAAAAAATTATTTTGAAGAAATAACAGCTGGCCTGACCGGTGTGACTCAGTGGTTGAGCGTTGACCATGCACCAAGAGGTCGCTGGTTTGATTCTCTGTTAGCACATGCCCAGGTTGTGGGCCACATCCCCAGTGGGGGTCATGCAGGAGGCAGCCAGTCGATATTCTCTCTCATCGATGTCTCCCTCTCTTCCTCTCTCTAAAATCAGTAAAGAAAAAAAATTAAAAAAAAAAAAAGAGTAGAGGTTGAAGTAATATATTTAGCCCCAGTAAAAGACGTGCTCTTTTCTTCTGTCAAGCTAAGTATGTGGGGCAGGGTCATTCTAATTTGTATCTGATCTCTGGACTTGATGCAGCTTTAGTTGCATTCAGTTCATCACTGGCTTCATATGTTTTGAGGGTGGGATCAGCCCTTTCAGGAGCGTTTGGGATTTGGGCACCGAGGAGATTCCTCAGATGTCTTTATAGCCATGTTGCCAGCTTCCTAAACTTTGTAAGGTCTTGCCGTAGTTTATTTTCTCTGCTAACTTTTTGGGTTACGGAAGAGTGATCTTGGCTTTCCACCCTGTTGTTTATCTCTAGCCTTAGCGAGGGTCCCTGCAGTGTACTTGTGGAGGGGTGTCCTCTAGCTACTTTGCATCTACTTTTTGCTCCTGTGCAGTTGATGAAGGCCTGTTGGCTAGAATTGGAGTGGGTGCAGACTCACTGACGGAGTCTCTTCAGCATTCTAATTAGTCATGCCAGCCCACAGGTGGCTGTGAATTTTAAAAGCTTGAGAAGTGCCTCTTTATTCTCATCTGCGGTCAGTTCACAGAAGGGCTCATCAGTTTCTGGGGTGTAGTTAATTTAAATTTGTTTCCTCAGCTCTATGATGGGTTAAAAAATTATTTTTGAGCTGATCCAGCTTGTTTTTAGTCAAGTTTGGTTGTTACATGATGTTTTATTAAGATTTTTGATTTCGCCCTGGCTGGTTTGGCTCAGCAGTTGGAGCATCGGCCTGTGGACCAGAGAGTTCCGGGTTTGGTTCCCTCTAGGGGCACGTACCAAAAAAAAAAAAAAAAAAAAGATTTTTGATTTCTTAAAATGTCTCTAAGATGTGTGCTTTACTTGTAGGTCAGTTAGATCATTGTTTAGCACTGAATGGTCATGAGATACATTGAAGTTTTACATCCCATTAAAAATTTTTTTTAGCCCTAGCTGGTTTGCTTAGTGGTTAGAACATAGGCCCTAGGAACAAAAGGGTCGTGAGGTCGATTCCCAGTCAAGGGCAGGTACCTGTTGAACCCCTGGCCCTGGTTGGGGTTGTTTGGGAGGCAGTCTATCCATGTGTCTCTATCATGTCAGTGTTTCTCTCAGGTGAGGATTAACAACAAAAATGGTTTTAATTATATTTATTGGGGTAATATTGGCTAATAAGATTATATATTTCAAGTGCATCATATAATACATTATCTATTATGCACTATACCCCTTTTTAAAAAATATGTTTTTATTGATTTTTTTTTTTTAGAGATGAAAGGAGAAAGAGAAACATCAATCAGCTGCCTCCTGAATCACCCCTCCCCCCATCTCCTGCCACCCCAAACCCAGGCATGTGCCCTGACTGGGAATTGAACTGGGACCTCAGTCCATGGGATGACTCTCTCATAAAGTTCTTAGTGTCTGTTAGATAGTAATCACTATGTGAGTGTTAGCTGTGATCATTAACGTAGTGAGGAATTAGTCAAAACCTTAAAATACTTAGGTATGTATCTTGTACATTGTAAGGACAATTTTGCCTATTATTTTTAATTTTTCTTTTCTTTTTTTTTCTTAATCCTCACCCGAGGACATTTTTCCATTTTTTGTACAGATAGAGTGGGAGGGAGAGAGAGGAAGAGATATAGAGAGAGAAACATCGATGTGAAAGGGACACATCGAGTGGCTGCCACCGCACGACCAACCAGGGTCGGGGACAAACTGCA